TAAAAGTTATTAAAGCTAATAATAAGATTATAATAGTAAAACTAGAGGTAAAACGCTAGCTAGCATTACATAAAATAACTATTAAGCCTTTAGCACTAGATACATAAGCCTAGAACAGAGAAGCTAAACGCTTAAAGGGTGTAAACAAGAAGAAGTTATAAGCTATACAACTAAATGCTAACCTACTATAGAATGTATAGCTATACATTACTAGAGCTAGCGTATACCTATATAATTAGACGCTAAACTATGCTAATAACTAGAAGACACTATATAAGATCTTCTTTACATAAGCAGCTCTAAATAATAAAGTTATTATGTTAATTTAAAAGCTAAGCTTTACACATCTAAAAGCCTATAGCTATAAAGCATTTATAATAACTAATAACACATATTAGAATAAATTTAAGCTACAGAGGCTAGACCTAAAGGCATAGATTAGATATCTAGTTAAGTACTAATTATTAAACATCTACTATGTATAGATACTACTACTAGTAAAAGTAATTTATACATGTAATGTTATTTTTAATAAACACTTAATCTTTAGCAGTAAGCCTAAAGACCTAATAGATAACCTTATACACAACACTATAAAGAAAATTACTATATATATTAGAATAATTAAGCTTCTAACACTTAGTTATTAGCTAGAGATAGAGTTATTTTATAAAGACAACACTATAGATAATACATTAAATTTTAATAAAGTAGACCTACTAGGCTACTATTAAGAAAGAAAGATTAGAGATAACTATCTATTTTCTCTAAATACTCTGCTACCTGCAGCATTACTTATGTAGTTAATAGCTAGAGCAGCACTAAAGCTAAGCTAAATAAAGTTGTTAAAGACTGTACTATAAGCTACAGCCTTTATAGCTAGCATAAGATCTAGAAGTGTAGAAAAGCATAGCAGTAAGACGCTAAATAAAGTAGCATTAATAAGAATACTATCTAAAAGAAAAACACCTTATAGAAGCTAGCTGCTACCTCTGCTATTAACTTAAAAGCAACTAGAGGAGCACCCTCTACATAAGATGTTTAAAGCAGCAGAAAGAACGCACTTAGACAGTTATTAGATAATAAAATCCTAGACAGAGGTCTAGATAAAGCTAATTAAGGCAGCTAGACAGCAGATCCTAGATTATATGTAGGTGTACACTTACAAGCTAGACAAGCACTATAGATTATAAAGATATAAGACGCAACTAGTAGTCTGCAGTAATTAATAGAGAAACATTACTACATAAGACACCTATGCTGCCACCCTAGCAGGACGCTTATTTTAAATGCTAATAGTAATATCTGCACGCTTTAACCTAGAGCTTAAACAATATAATGTAACTAACGCGTTTATACATGCAGCAATTAACTGCAATATCTACATGCAGATGCTAAGAGGCTATTAGAAACTAGGTACAATATTAAAGCTTTAAAAAGTACTATATAGCTTATAAATTTCTTCTCTACTCTAGTAACACTATTTTATAACAACTTTTAAAGGCCTTAGGTTTTTAGCTGTCTTACATAAACTCTGCTGCATAACTAAAGCTAGAATATTTGTCTTCTTCTACGTAGACAACCTTATTGTTGCGTACAAGAAAGGCTCTAAAGCAGATGCACAGCGTGTAGTAGACTAGTTATAAGAGAAGTATACTCTAATAAGAGGCAAGAACCTATAATAGTTTCTAGGAGTTAAGATTATTAAAGATTAACAGCAATAAATAATTTAGCTGTCACAGGCCTTATATATTAATAAGATAGCTAGGCTAGCTAATAAAAAGAACCTGCAGCATGCTACACCTATAAGTAGAATTAAACTTATGCTGCAATCTAGTTTTGTAACCTTATTAGAAGTAAATTAATATTAGCAGAAGATTAGATCTCTGCTCTTTACAGCAGTTACTACAAGACTAGATATTGCTTTTGCTACATCACGCCTTGCACAGTTTCTCACAAATCCCGCATCTAACTATTAGGATGCAGCCGATTAAGTCATCCTGTACCTACATGCGACACAGACGTACGCACTCTAATTAGAAGGAGAAGACTACCTTATAGTAGCAAGCAATACATTATTTATAGACAATACACTAAATAAAAAGAGCTCTTAGGGCTATGTTATTTAACTATTTAGCAGATAGATTGCATAGCAAGTAAATAAATAAGATACAGTTATAACATTAACAACAGAAGCAGAATTACTTACACTGTTCTAAGTTGCTAAGGAAGCTATGTTTATAAGAATACTTCTTAATTAGCGGAGCTTGCTCTGCTTCTTTCTGTGGACTTTAGTTTTCTTTAGTTAGGGCTTAGCAGCTAAGAATTACTGCTTTTAGCCTTTTTAAGCTCACGTAAGCATAAAAACAGCAGATCCTTAGATAATTATTTCCTGCGCAAAAACTAAAACCTTGCTGCGCGTGTTGTCTAATACCTGTCTAATACCTCCTGCTACAACCTATAACATAGTACCTCTGCTATTTAACGCTAATAAACCTCCCCTACTCTGCAATAATTATTATCACCCTATAGATCTACAGAGAGACAGGACGTTTCTCTAATAAAAAGTTTAATGTGCGCCCTACAATACACAAATTTAGGCAAGGAAGCGCCCTACCTAGGGCAGCCCTATACCTCTACTGCTAGCTAAGAGGCGCGCTCTTACTAATATCACATATGTCACAAATAACAGACTACAACCCTATATCCTGCTGTTGTCTCCTCTAGTACCCCTATGTTGTTATTGTTCTACGCTATTAGACTAGGCAAATAACATGTTTAAAGAAAATAACAAGTAAAAGACTTTATGTTAAAAGTGTTACTAATTAAAAAGTAAAGTTAATATTTATACTATAAATAAAAAACTAGCACATGTATTGCCTTTTATAAACTTTAGCCTATTAAGCTCCCTTTTTTATAACATTTTTACACAACAGACGCCTTAATAATCTCCTTAATATAAAATCTTTAGCCTATTAAGCAACCTCTCTAATATACTACTTGTGCTATTTACTTTAATTAGTTTAAGTACATAATGTACTTAGAAGCTACTGTTAACATAGAAAAGGTTTTAGTCTACACCCTCTTAGTTACAGAGAGCAGGTATAAATAAAAACAACCTTAGTAATAGTTTAGATAAGGACATTAACATAAATATCTTTTTAAACGCTAAGCGCTGTGTGTATAATTTTCTATCTGCGCCTGTACTTATAAATTTTAATAATGTTAAATTCCTTAAAGACTAGGCTATACTAGAAGTTAATAAAGGCTATATTAACAACTTCTATAAGGGTCTACTTAATATTAAGTTAGATACATGCACTACCTATAATTAAAAGTAGTTTAACATAGGATTAAATTAATAAAGTACTTGCAAGGAGTGCGCTACTAATTTACTTAAATATAAACATAAGAAGGAATTTATTCTACTTTAGAAAAATGTAAATAACTTTAATTCTAGCCTTTTACTAAACTTTTCTAAGTTAACTACTACTAAAGAGTAACTACTAGCATGTGTACATGTTAATATAATAAACCTCTCTGCTAGAGTAAGTAGGCACTTTGTGCATTATAAATAACTACTAAGTCCTTTATTATAACTTTAATAAAATGTAAGTGCTAATGTATTAGTATTAGATAAGGTATTAGACTTATTAATTTATAAGCACTTAGCTAGCTGCTATCTATAGCAAGCGCATTACTATCTAGGCTTAAGATGTGCAGCTTGTTATTTGCATTACTTAGGATTTTAGCTAGTACTTTAACTTTGCTAATAAGTACTTGTGTAGACAGACCTACTAAGAGGTGTTCTCTTACATAGCATTTATAGGTATATAGGTCTTTGTGTAGAATTTATAGGAATATAGTTTATAGGTTTTAGTCTGTAGACTACTTTTTATTGTCTGCTCTGCTTATAGTCTTCTTCTATAGGCTTCTTCTAATGCAGTCTTCTTCTCTAGAAAGAGTTTAATAAGTGACTTAAAACAAGCTCCGCTTATGCATTCATTTATAAACTGTTATAGTATGTTAAACTATAGGTTAAGCTACCTAATTTAACTATTATAATCTAGTGCAACAACAAGCAGATAATCTAACTAGTAAACAAAGAGATATCTTAACTTTAAACTAAGCTCTAACATGTCAACATCTATAACCACTAGCTCTAACAGGAAGTCTCTTGACAAATGATTAAGGTTGTCTATGTCCCCTCTAGCAAGATGCTTGCAGACAGACTTACTAAAGCGCTTCTAGTTAGCAAATAGCCAAGCTTTCTTCAGCAAATTTGGCTAGTTAACGTCAGGGAGAGGATAGTCAGTCAGGAAGCGGATATGGAAGAGATTAAAGCAAGAATGGAAGCCCTGGAAGCATACTAAGGTTGCGCAATCAGGAACCAGCTTAAAGCATGTCCAAGCTGAGGGGGTGTGTCAGATTTGCGCACCTACTGTTAAGACAGGAGGAACGCTTGACAAAAGCTGCTACATAGTACAAGCAATAAGCTTAAACAGTATGTTGCTGCAAATTGCAGCATTTTGCAGGCTAGTCGCGCATAGGGCAAGTGCGCGAGGGACTCAGATCAGCAAAACAAAAAGCTGAGCAACACAAGTAGAGCAGAAAAAGGATTAATAAATAAGGACAATTAATACAATTAATTAATCATCCCATACATCATATCCAAACCCATCATTCATCTCAGGAAGCCCAGAAACAGTGCTTCAATCTGACACTAGCACACCTGTGAGGTACGTTATTTGAAAGGTTTAGCTAGTTAAAGGGGCTTGGTGCCTGCTGGCATGCAAGATAGTATTTCTACCTTAGATACGACTACACAGTGGCCAAGCGTCGACGGAAGTATAAATTCATCTCTATTACGATTCCCGTTGCCATGCACCACATCAAATGTTCGCATCACCCTGCGGCGTTCATATGGTCTGTGCGCACAGAGCAACGACTTGTTTTGGTTCCTCGGTAAGATAAACAAGGACCCGCACCATCCATCGCGACTCACCAACGACCCTCTGCACCCCCCCTAAACTCTCTACATCCATATAGCACCGCCGGCATGTCTTTCAATCCGCGCATGAGCGCCGCGCCGCGTGCTGCCTCCTCAAACCCGCGCGGTCGCCAGCAGGACGAGAGTGACGCCTTCATGACGCTAGTACGCACATGGCCCTATTCCCTCCAAACAACCCTTCTGACTGACCCATTCATAGCCCGACTCCGAAATAGCTGGCTGCATCACCGACATTGGCATCCACATGACCGTCGCAGATCTTCAGAAGCCGAATCCCCAGCAGATCCAGAAGATATTTGAATGGCTGGCCGAGATCCTGTTGAACACGTCGCGTGAATCTGTTGCGCCGGCGATGAAGGCTGCTTCGGAAGACATCTGTGGGCCGGATGCAGATCGTATTTTTACGAATGATACGAGGGATCTTATGGGCTTCTTTGTGGTCATGAGGAGACTACTTCGGGAGGTAAGGATCTATCCTTTCCTTCTTTCCTTTCATCCTCGTTCATCCTGAAGATGTGTTAGACAATATTTGCTAACAGTGCTTAGTGCGGCATCCATGACTTCACCTTCCAAGATCTCTACAAGCCCACCCACCAGCGTCTTGTTAAAATATTCTCCTACATGATTAACTTCATCCGCTTCCGCGAATCACAAACGTCCGCCATCGACGAGCACTTCAACAAAGCCGAACGCACGAAACTACGAATCGAACAACTCTACCACGATAACCAGGCCAAGGAGATGCAGCTCGCCGGGCTCGAGCGCAATCGTCTCGCAACTCAGCGACTCATGCAGGAGAAAGAGAAGCGCAACAATGAGTTGAAGAACCGATTGCTGGAGCTGAAGAAGGGCCAAGAGGCTGTGGCAGAGAAGTTAGAGCGCGCGAGGGAAGAGCAAAATAGACTAAAGGCGCTATTGCAGCAGAAAGTGGAACAGAAGGAGATTGTGCAAAGAGATGTCACGAAGTTGAAGCCGTACACGCAACAGTCTCCTACCGCACTCGAAGAGTCTCTGCGTGATTTGAACGACAGGCTTATGGGGGACAAGATGCAAATCGACTCTTTAGATCGCCGGGCCCGAGCCCTGCAGACTTCAACAGACTCCTTCACAGTTGTGGCGGCTGATGTCACAGCCTGCACCCGTCTCCTTACAGATGTCCAAGCCGATCTATCGAAAGAAGAGGAGGAATTGGCAAAAGCAATAAGACACAAAGATGCGCTTTCAGAACGCAGCAACAACGTCCGTGATGTCGAACGCCAGGAACGACTGCTCCAGAAACAGCTTGGCAATGTGAATGCCCGGACTGAAAAACTCCGCAACAAAGCCGACGAAGAGGCAGATCGGGCAAAGAGGCGCATGGAAGAGCTGCGCGAGACTCATGCTAAGTTGGCAGAGGAGAGGGCTGAGAAAGGCCGAGAGATGGAGAGACGGCGTGTTAGAATTGAGCAAACGGAAAAGAAGGTATGCTTAACCTGGATTCTTCGCTGGCATTTGAGTCTGTGCATGCATGGAAGGATGAAAAGCTAACGGGAAGCAGATGGCTGAGCTCAAGGATAATATCGAAAACGAAGTCCATGCTGCGCATGATGAGTATATCAAGATGGAGAGTCATATTAAGCTGTATATTACAGAGATGGAACAGAGTATTTAGACTTGGGAATCGGGCTCGGGTTGGGATTTGTTTCCGAGATTGATACCCAGACTTTGGTGTAGCATGATTGTGAGTGTGGTAAATGGCGTTTTGGTTGCTTTTTTCAACGAATGCCTAGATGGCCAAGTGGCTTATGTCTTGGCACTAGGAGAGGTAGGCCCAGCTAGCAGCTGTGTTTTGAACGCTCTCCATCAATCACCTCCGTGTCTATGCCGTCACCGCTCTAGCTAGGTCTGAATATAAACGCAATAGCCACCTCACTTCCCTCATGGGGCCGCTAGGGACTAGAGCCCATGATCCCATTGCTCCTAATACTTTTAGCCTAATCTATAATCCTACAGCTCTGAGGATGAGGATGAGGTCTTTGGGACCCCACTGAACCGACTGGCGAGCAATAGAAAGTCTCCTGAATAGCGCACGGGTGTACAAGGAGCCATCAGTGGCGAGGTACTAACTACTAGTTCACAGTAGAGCTTCCAAACAGCCCTATATCGGTAGCCATTCACTCCTCCGCCCCCTAGGCGCCTCAAACATATTTGGAAGGTGAGTTTTCTACTCCTTCACTCACTGAGCGCGTCTCTAATCAGGCTCCTGCTCTGACTGAGCTTCAGCAACTAATAGGTCAGGTTCAATTAGGCTGGGACGCATCCGAAGCACATTCTGGATGGTTTGGGTGATTGGGGAAGAGGTCTACTGTGGGCACAGGACGGATTTGATGACATTAGGACCCCTAATATCCTGTTTGCACATTAATGGGATAGTCTGTTAGTAGTATTATGAGCCTGAGAGCTCTCTACGATGAGTTGCCTAATTAACTATGGGTTTGGCGTGCCACAATTCTATGTTAATCATATTGCTCCATGGACCCTTGGTCCATAATATATGATTTCTCTCATAATGCATGCCCCTTGCAAGGCTAAAACGAGGCTACAACTACAATGAAATTTGATAGCGAATAGATGACTTTTAGGAGATACCACTTCGCCGTGAAGCGCTAAGAACCAGTCTCGGTGAATTGCTCTAGATTTGGACTGGAAGATTTGATAGAGAACTTTATATAAGCTCACTCGCCACTGCCAACTAGACTCTAGTTTGCCTTACTCCTCCACCAAGCCTCATACATGAGAGCCTATCCACCTACCATTTCAAGCACTAGTTGCGGTCGCCCGTCTATTCCAAACTCTAAGACTATGTAACGTCCACCACAGGCAAGTTGCTCACACACGTAAGTTACTTACTTTTACTACTAATATATTTCTAATAACACTACTTAGATATGTTTAAAGAATGTTAGATATAGCTTATATTTTAAGCTTTTAAATAAAATATAATACTTTTTAAGTAACATATTACAGCTATTTATAAAGTCTTTTAAAAAATAATAAATAACTAACATACTACATAACTTTTCTAAGTGTTAAATAGGCTCTTTTAGCTAGCTGCTTATAGTATAAGCACTTAAGTAGCAAGAGTAAGAGTAGTGTACAGTGTGCACAGCGTACAAAGTAGATAGTGTGGGGGCAACATGTTTCTAGTTCTATTGCTCTGTCTTTTCCTCTATACAAAAGAAAGGGGAATATCTAGATATTCACGCACAAAGGCTTACACACAAGCATTATGTAACATAACTATGTAATCCTTTTTATGCGCAATAACTAGTATTTAGACTATAACGTACTTCACAGGCGAGTTGCTCACACACCTAAGTTGCTTACTTTTGCCAAGACCCCACTAAACTACCTTTCCTACACTAATGCATTCCCTACAACACTACTTAGACGCGCTAAAAGAATGTTAGATACAGCTTATACTTTAAGCTTTTAAACAAGACATAAAACTCTTAAAGAAATGTGCTATAGCTATATATAAGGTCTTATAAAAGATAATAAATAACTATAGCGCTAGATAACCTTTACAAGCTAATTCTACAGCTAAATTATAAAGGCTAGGCAATAAAAAGAAGCAGGTGATTATTAAGACTATACTTAAGCTATATGCGTAAGGAATTTCCCCTTAGATAGCATTTATAGCTAATATAGCTAATTCTTTGCGCGCTAAGCGTAATCTAGGCTATGTTTGCATAAACTAGCCTAGTATGTTTATAAAGCGTTATTTAGAGCTTAAAGTAACATTTAAGTGTAAGTATAACTATAAGAGAGCTTTTTATAAGAGTCCTAGGGTAATTTAAGGCAAGTTTAGCCTTGTAGAGAATATTAAAGCTAAGTATAGCATCTAGGATAATAACACGTATAACTTTAGTAAGATAAGGTTTATAATTAGCTAAATATCTCTTAACTATACTTGCGCTTAAAACTTTACTTTAAGCTTTAAATAACACTTTACAAACATACTAGGCTAGTTTATGCAAATATAGCCTAGATTACGCTTAGCGCGCAAAGAATTAGCTATATTAGCTATAAATGCTATCTAAGGGGAAATTCCTTGCGCATATAGCTTAAGTATAGTCTTAATAATTACCTACTTCTTTTTATTGCTTAGCCTCTGTAATTTAGCTATAGAATTAGCTTATAAAAGTTGTCTAGCGCTATAGTTATTTATTATCTTTTACAAGACCCTACACATAGCTACAGCACATTTCTTTAAGAGTTTTATGTCTTATTTAAAAGCTTAGAGCGCAAGCTGTATCTAACATTCTTTTAGCGCGTCTAAGTAGTGTTGTGGGGAATGCATTAGTGTAGAAAGGGTAGTTTAGTAGGGTTTTAGCAAAAGTAAGCAACTCAGGTGTGTGAGCAACTCGCCTGTGAAGTACGTTAACACTGCTGCTGTGTACAAACACTAGCAACTTTTTATTTTTGTCTAAAAAGTTACCTTCTGTACTAGTTACCTTTCTTCTGTCTATGCAGGTCTATTTAATTATGTTCTGCCTATACTTTACCTTATTTTTTATAACTTGTCCTAGTAATGCTATATATTAAAGTAAGCTAGTTATACTTTATAAATAGCTTTATAAATAATATAAAGTATTTAAGCTATTATTATTTAGCTTTATACACTTATTTTATAAATATTTAGCAGTGTATAGGCTATTTTATGCAGGATTCTGTAACAGGATAGTGTAGGATCTTTGCGTAGAAAAGTGTGTAGAGAGGTGTATATAATAAGGTTTTTTTTCTCTCTCTTTTTATCTTTTTTTAGCTTTAATTTTATAAACTTTACTATATAATCTCTTAGCTTTTTTTTATATAGTGCTAACAGTAATAGGTTCTTCTACACACACAAACACACATAATGTCTCTCTAGCCTTTTTTCTTCTCCTTTAACGCTGTTAGCACCGGGGTCTTTAACGTCCTTATGCAGTCTAATAGCCTAGGGTACATCTATGTTACTTTTTTAACTAGTTTTACTACTAATTAGTAGTTTATATAGTGTCTTTAAATAAATATATAAATTTTTTAACTTTTTTACTTCTTCTTTATACTAAAGGCTAATGTAAATAGGCTAAGAAGTAATATGTAATAGCTTTACTATTATATAATATTAATATTATTTTACCTACTAGCACTAACTTGCAGCTATAGGCAGCTAAGGTTATGCAGTATAAAAAGTACTTTTATATAGTTTTAGTTTAAAGTTATAGTTAAGTTTTAGTAACTTTATGTTTTTATTATTATAGTAGCACTACTAGTGCTTTTTTTTATTAAGTGTTACATGCTAGCTAACTTCTAGGCTAATGCTTGCACCTTATGTGTATAGTAGAGCTGTAGCCTACACTGTGACTACTACACGTAAGAGGTAGTATGTTTTAGAGAAGAGGACTAGTAGTTTTTTTTTTATATACTAGCTAAATAAAATTTTTTTTTTTTATATATTCTTCTCTTCTAATCTTATATAAAAGTAAAAAAAATGTGTGTGTAATAAAAAAATTAAAAAAATAAGCTTTATATAAAGCTATTATTAGTCTAGTTAGTCTAAAGCATCTTTGCGCATAGAATCTAGCTAGTCTATAAATGATTTTATTTAGACAAAAAGGTAGTTAGTTAAGACTAATAGTTAAAAGGCCTAATTTAGTGTTTTTTATACATACATTTATAAAGTTATTTTTACTATTAATTTACATAATTTTTATAATCTCCCTTTTCTTATATAATTTATAGAGTAATATAATATTAATTATAAGTTATTTTTTACTGGTAGTGCCTAGCTTAATAAAGTAATTATATAAAAACTTTAAATTTGTATACATTACTACTAAGATTAGTAGTAGTTTAAGTGTTTATATAATTTACTATAAAGTTATACTAAAAGTAATTATATTATTAAACTTTTTAACTATTTTATATAGTTTACTAGTAAGAACACTTTTAGTTACTCTTTTACACTTAGTAGAATTCTAGTGTATAATGTTACTTAGTATTTTAAAGTAGTTACTTTATTTTATATAGTTCTTATTACTTAATATAATTAAAATTTTTAGCTATAAGCTAAAGTTTTTATTATTAGTTAATAATTTATTTATAAAAATAAACAGCTTTATATAGTCTAGTTATAGTAGTATAAAAGTAAGTCCTCTACTACTATTATTTACCTACTACTAGATGCGTATATTAGAGGCTTTAATGTCTTTATATAAAGGGTCTATAGTTTAAGCTGTAACTAAGAAATTAAATGCTGCCTTTAGTTAACACACTAAAGTAATATATGCTTCTCTAGCCCTTTATATAACATACTAGTGTGCAGCATTCTTTACTATAGCATTAATTATATAAAAGTTTTTTACTTAACTTTTTTAAGTAAAGGTAACTTTATTTTATGTAAGCTAAATTTTTTTATTATTAAATTTAATAAGCTAGTTTTTAGACAGCATAGTTTTACTTTTTATATAGAGATTTACTTTCTATAGTTTATTTTTCTTTTTCTATGCAAAGTTCTTTATTATAATACTTAAAGTATTATCTATCTGTAAGCTAGTTATACTAAAGGTGTGCTTTTTTTTTATCTATAATTAAAAAGCAGGGGTTATATAAAAAGATGTGCATGTGTAGCTTTTTTTATAGTAGTTATAGTATGTTTTAAACTAATATAGGCTTAATTCTACAGCTCTATATAAAAGTTGTACAACCTAAAAGATTCTATTTAGTAAAAGGTTCTAGCGCATTTTTTAGTAGTTTTATGTACAGCGTGTGTAGAAGCTTATTTATTAATTAAATATATACTTATATAATATTACATAGTTTAAAATGCTTTTTATACATAGCTTTTAGGCTTACTTTTATAGCTAAAAGTAGTCTTTAGCTTATTCTTTAAATAGTTAGTAATTAAGTAAGATTTTTTTTTATCTAAGTAGCTAGTAAACACTAGGTAGAATTTCTTATATAGTTAAGTTATTTTGCTTTTTACTTTTTATATAAGGCAGAAGTTAATAATCTAACTTTTATACTTTATTAAGTTATACACTATAACTTTAAAAGTGCTGTTAGTAATTAAGGTGTTTATTTTTATATAGTCTAATATTTTAAATTGTTTTGTAAGTATAGTAATTATATTATTTATATAAAGCTTAATAAATAAGGCCTAATTATTATTTTTTTAAGTTAGAAATACCTAATCTAGACTAAAAGCTTACAAGCTAAGACTATTAACAAAGGTCTAAAAGAAGGCACTACAAGAATACATAGACAAAATGTTAGCATAAGGCTATATCTAAGAAAGTAATAGCCTAATAGCTTTAGCAGTAGTATTTATAAAAAAGAAAAGAGAGAAAATTAGAGTCTGTTAAGACTACTAAACTTTTAATAAGAACAGTGTTTAGAATTAGTTTCTGCTTCTTATTATATAGGACATTATAAACTAGTTAAAAGGAACTAAACACTTTACAAAGTTTAGCATATAAGATAAGTTTAATAAAATAAGAATTAAAGAAAGTTATAAATAGATAACAGCCTTTTAAACTCTAAGCAGCTTATATAAGCTTCTTATTATGCTGTTTAGATTAACTAACGCTCTAGCCATCTTCTAAAGGGTAATTAACACTGCGCTTAATCTATACCTAGATATTTTTGTATTAGTATACCTTGACAATGTCTTTATCTACACTAAGCACAATAAACTAGACTATGTAGCAAAAGTAAAACTAGTGTTAGACTAGTTGCAAAAATATA